AATTACCACTTCACCCGGCAGTGCAACTACAAGTGCGGCTTCTGCTTCCACACGGCCAAGACCTCCTTTGTGCTGCCCCTGGAGGAGGCCAAGCGGGGGCTGGTGATGCTCAAGGAGGCGGGTGAGTCCGAGCGGGGGGCGATGCGCAGCGGCCGCGTCCCAGCAGGACCGAGTGTCGTCGAAAAAGTTCTCCCTGTAACTCCACGGCCGGGGTCCCTCTTCATATCGCCGCAGTCGGGCACTGAGAGCGTGTGGAAGGAGTGGGCAATAGGTGGGCAGAGGTTCACAGCACCTTTCTTTGGTCCTTCTCTAGGAATGGAGAAAATAAATTTCTCGGGAGGAGAACCGTTTCTGCAGGACCGAGGCGAATTTGTAGGGCAACTGGTCCAGTTTTGCAAGCAGGAGTTGAAGCTACCGAGTGTCAGCATCGTTAGCAACGGCAGCCTGATTAGAGAACGGTGGTTCAAGAAGTACGGTAAGGAAAAACCGCTGTGCACAGGACTGGCGGGGTTTGGGAGCCTCCTCGGGGCAGCCTCACCAAAAGATGGGTTTTCAGTGCAAGTGGAAGATGGTTTGTTAGTGGTTCATTTACAGTAAACACAAACCAAATGTAAACACCAGTGAAATACTGTTAATTGTATGTCCTGATGATAGGCAGTTTGTACTATTACCCCTTTGATATAATAGTATAATAAAATAACAACTTAGACTGTCTCCATAATGCTGGACACACAAACAAAATACATGTTTTCATGATGCCACTGCTATGGCTTTTGTGGTTCATGTGATGACTTCACAGAACTGTATTTACATGGCACTTTGTGACAGATCACAAGGAAGTGAAAGTGGGCAGAGTCCCGAGAGCTTTTAGCTGAAGGACTGACTATTAATCAATTTTGAAAACTTGTTTTCAGGTGAATATTTAGACATTTTGGCAATTTCATGTGATAGTTTTGATGAGAACGTCAATGTTTTAATTGGCCGTGGTCAAGGAAAGAAGAACCATGTGGAAAACCTGTATAAACTGAGACAGTGGTGCCAAGAGTATGCTGTTGCTTTCAAAATAAATTCAGTGATCAACAGATTTAATGTTGAGGAAGACATGAATGAGCAGATCAAGGCACTCAACCCTGTGCGCTGGAAGGTAGGAAACTGGTGTATGCCATAGGTTTCCTGTTCAGGAAAAAGTAACACAAGTTCTGGAGTTGTCTGACCAGAGCAGAACCTCTAATGACCTCAGTCAGATCTCCAGCTCCAGCTTGGGCTGGCGTTAGCGGACTTCTTGTCAGCACTGCATGATTATATGTTTCAGCATACATAGATCTAGTTTTTTTATGATATTGGAAGTAAGATAGAAGGTCTTTAACATTTGAAAATGTGTCATGGTGTCGAGAAAATGAGGAAAAGTTAGTGTACAATGATACATTAGAGTTAATATATCAGCAGTATCTAAGTGTGCATTAGACACTTATGTTGTCAGATATTAGTCATTCATGTGTATATATTTTCTACTAGAAGTGTATTAAATACGTTATCAGTTTGAAAACGGGTAGAGATAATGTGACATAAATATGGGAGAACTTGTGGAATAATTTCTCACAATTTGCTTCATGGAAATTGGTATACACGCATGATTTCCCAGAAAAAAAAAATCACTGTGAAATCTTGGTCCTACTAAAGGAGTGTAAGGAAAATCTGACATACATTTTAATATTTTATCAAGCTTCCTGGCCTACTTTCTATTACAGAGACTTACAGAGTGTGTTAATGGCAAATGTGCCTTTTTTCCCCTCCAAAGTCTGAACGTAGTTAAGGACTTGGCCATTAAAAGGATGCTCTTAAGTAGACAAACCAGTGCATTTTGTTTCTGGGGAGTTTTCTCTATCTTTTCTGTGACCATCTGAAGCCAGTTAACCTAATAGTCACAAATCAGATTAAAATCTTCAAAAATGCAGATTGACTTGATAGTGTGCATTGTACATAGAACTTACTGGCATTTATAATACAGCCATACTATTTGAGGTTCAATCAAAAGTTAATTTGAGCTTTTATTATCTGTGCCTTTATTAAGACCAGAGTTAAGATTTCTGTGACAACCTGGTCAGGAACCATGACTGTATAATTACATTTAGAACTATGTAATGCTAATTTGCTAAAAATAAATCTGCACAGTGCCCTTTGTATAGTATTCACTTACCACAGTTTGTGTCAGTGTGGCTCTGCCGACAGAAAAATTAAAGACATTTCTATTGAGACAACGGAAGGTTTTTGTCATGGTGACAGTCTCTTACACTCAAGGCAAGTGAAAACATCAAATCTTACCCAGGTGCCTTTTGTCTTCAGGTATTCCAGTGCCTGCTCATCGAAGGGGAGAACACTGGTGAGGATGCCCTGAGAGAAGCAAAGAAATTTGTTATCAGCGATGAAGACTTTGAACAATTCCTGGATCGCCACAAAGATGTCTCCTGTTTGGTACCAGAATCTAATCAGAAGGTAAAATTGAAACTGCCCTTTTGTAACTTTATTTTGAAATTAAATTGGAAAGATGGAAAAGAACTAGAAGCTTCCATGGCAATTAGCACTCTCCCTATTAGTATTGCATAGAAGAGGTACAGTGCAACTGTGTCAGCAACTGGTTTTGTTATGGTGGAAGCCAAGGTTTTTAATTTTCTTTAAGGCATTTTATTGAGCACAAAGTTACTAACAGAAGAGTTAATAGAGCTTTTAGAGTTGGGAGATTACCTTTGAGCTGGGAGAACACCTTTGTCTGCTGGGGTGATAATTAAACACCCCAGCTTAAACGGTCATGTCAGTTGTTTGGAAAATGACATAATTATTCCAGTATGCAAAACAGTGTAAGTTCTGCTGATGTAGAAGTTAACAGAAAACTTGGATATTATTTAAAACATCTTTATCCCGTTGGGCACCCATATTTCAGTTGGGCACCCACATTTCAGTTAGACACTTAGGAGGTCTTATTCAAGGAATTACTGGTCTATTCATGCATTAAGTCATGCTAGTAATCCTGTTGATTATTTCTATAAACTTGATCCAAACTCACTGAAATAGTGGGAAGACACTATCTGTTTCAAAGATTTGGATCAGGCTTTGAAGAAATAGTTGTTTGTTTTGTCCTTGAGTTTTCACTAGAATGGAATTTTGGTTTGTATATTTAGTTTTTTCTTTTGATCTGTTACAGATGAGGGATTCATACCTCATTCTGGATGAATACGTAAGTCTTTCTTTGATACTTGGTATTTGTATGCTAATATATGTATGTATGCAACAGTGATAACCAATTCCATTTACTGTGCATTTTAGAAAATAATTTTACCATGTAGTACAAGGAATATATGTAAATTCTACCCATCAAACTTGAATGTAAGTATGATCTAAGGAGAAGTTGCCATAAGGTGGTTGCATGTGTAATTATTGCATCACGAATCTTAAAGCATCGACGTTTATCTTTGCAGGACATCTTTGCTGGTTTTCTTTAATCTAAGAATACAGAGCTTGTCCTGAAAGTTAAGTTTCAAAGAGCCTACCTAGTTTACGTGTAACTGAAGAGTAATCACTTTACGTGTAATCTTCAGGGGTTATGGCTTTGTTCCTGCTAAGATGTGTCAGTGTGTCTAACCGTGGGCTTCTGAGCCTTCCAAGGACTACAGTGAAACTGTTCATGCACTTCCATAGGCTTCTGTGGGACTGCCGTGCAACTTGTTTAATTCTATAGAAAATTTAAGGATTTGTAGAAATTCTGTAGAAAAATTAAGCTTTTACAAATGGAGTTTCTAATGTCTTATCTATTGATGTTCCAGATGCGTTTTCTAAACTGTAGAAATGGACGGAAAGAGCCTTCCAAGTCTATCCTAGATGTTGGCGTAGAAGCGGCTATAAAATTCAGTGGATTTGATGAGGATATGTTCCTAAAAAGAGGTGGAAAGTATGTGTGGAGTAAAGCAGACATGAAACTGGACTGGTAACTCAGTATACTGTGTTTGGGGCAGGTAGATTATGTAAAGAAAATGGGTATGTATATATGTACGTGTATACATGCATCTAATGCTTTTAACTACACTTGTTATAGTATACAGACTGATGTTCAGTATAAGGCTATACGTGAATGTGTTAAATGTTTTTAGAACGTATATTATGTTCTTACCTATTGTTTGGCTGGACATTACCAAGTACCTTCAGAGCTTTCATATAAATAGATCTCTGAAACCAACTTTCTATGCCATTGTGTGAAGGACTTCAGGGCAAACCATCACTGTAATGTCACACAGGAAACGGTTTTAAGATAACACGCAAGCCAAGAAACAAACCAAAACCCACCCCAGTCTCTAGTTCCTTATAAACGGCTGAAATGATGGGTCAGTGGAAACTCTTACCAGGGAAGTCTGCCTGGTCCGTAGGGAAAGGTGGGTGGCAGCTCCTCGGTGGATCACAAGAGGGCCAGCTGGCAGTCCTTTGGGAGCAGCCCCGGCCTTTTTCAGGGGCAACAGAGGGTCAGAATCCAGGAGTCGTTATCTGTAATAATATATTTAAAAGGAAATCAAGATGAAAAAATTGGCAATTTTCATTCTGTAAGACTTAGCCGTGAAAGTGTCTGTTGCTCTGCTCCCTCACCTCCATATAGACGCACAGTATTTGCGAAAATGTTGGGGGATGTAATTTTCTGTGAAAACGTATTTTTAGTAATGAAAGAAGATTATATTTGTCCTAAAACATAAAAGCGCACTTTACCTAATGATGAGCAACTACTTCTTATTTCACATTGGCAATGTAGTTCTAAGAAATATTTACAGTGAAAAAAGTTTGCATTTCATTAACAACTTCCTCCCTTTTCCTTTTATCTGAAAATACTGATTTATTATTTTTAACATTTTTTTTCTCTCCCCATACATAGAGTTCTGATGAAGATTCTTTCTGTAATTAATTAATACTGTGTAGCACACCTAACACCTGTCTTCTGTTGCATACTGGCGACTAGCTGTCGCATGCTTTTTATTTTGCTAAGCCATGGCATTACAAACAACAAAGTTCATGTACCATGTAACCTTGTTTTAAAGGTTGCTTGGCTCAGTAATCATTCTTGCTTGCTGGTTACAAACGTGCAGGTATTAAGTGAAACTAATTGGATTTTGTGATAGCTGTCTTTAAGAGCTGGCAGCATGAACATAAAATAGAGAAAAGTCAAAAGCCCCTGCAAAACCAATAATCTAATATGCTGCCCTCGTTCTTGGTTTTCTGGTGATTGTTATGGCTTTGTAATTGCAGTTTCCCAAATTTAACTAGTCCGTCCATTGTCTGGACAATGCCTGGACTGTTTCAGACATCTAAATATTTACAGCAGTTGGGAGCCATCATGCATTAAACGTACCATGTAGAGAAAATTACACCTTCTTTCATTTTTCTGATAATGCTAGTTGATATTTTTAAAGAGGTTTTCAAGAGAAGTGTCTTGCATTCACCTAATGCATCTTCAAAGTCGAAGGGGAAAGCGCTTAAGTAGGAGCTGCTACTTCTGAATAAAGGGAGGTGCATCTCTGAATAGACTGTGAAAATATTTCCATTTATAATTCCTTTGGTTTCTATTTTTACAATCCTAATTGTAAATATACTGTCTCAGTTGTGCTCGTTTGTCTCTTTATATTTTGCATTTTGCAATCACAATGCTTCCCAGATGCTTACATTTCAGTATTTTTTTTTTTTCTTGTATTAATACTAAGTGACATTTAAAATGTGGCCCAGACGCATTAACCCCACAGTCTTCTGGCAGTTGTTTCACTGACCTCAGCTGGAGTTCTGCCCAAGTAGCAACTACGGGCAGCGCAAATTTCTGTAACTGTGGGGTTTGACTTTCTCTGTGTCCCCGTTGCTCAAATGTTCAATCTAGCCTCTTCCTCAGCATCTACGCTGCGTGGTAGAAAAGAAGCATTTTCCTTTGCTGCTGGCTCAGTTCCAGCACGGGGAAAGATTCAGTGCATCAATGTACCAGTAAATCTACCAGCTTGCTGCTTCTGCAGAAAACGCCAGCTGCATCACAGCACGCAGATGCGAGGTTACACAAACTCCCATTCAGATCCAGAAATCCTGCCGTTCTTTGCTTTGCATTTTGGTCTGTAAATGGCTATTCTTTTGCTGCGAGAGATCCTCTGTGCCTATAGAGGAAGTTGCAGGATAAACAAACAGCTGAAAATCTGAAAATCCAGTAAATAGTGTAAAGACGTTGAAGATGGCTTTTTTCAGAAGGTTTTAAGTTCTTATCGTCTTAAATCTTAAGGATTTTATATCGCCTCTTGCTACCATACGTAATTAAGAAAACATTTCTGCTCTGTGTGATACTCTTTTCCAAAGGAAATGCCAGTCATGTACATCGGAAATGAAGAATTTGACATAACACAGTCTGACAGGCAAACGTCGAAGCTAAAGAATAGCTATCAGTATTTTTATATGCAAAATATTTTTTTTGTGTAAAATCTCAAAAATATTTTTGGCTGCTGCTTTATTAACCTAGGTTTTTGGGGGGGTTGTGGTTTTTTTTTTTTAATCTATAAACACAGTTCACATTGGACCAGCAATGGAATTCAGGCTTTCATTTCTGTAGCTGGGCCTAACTTTCAGCATGGGACTAGAAAAATAATACTGAATTCAGCAGGGCTACTCCCAAGCTTAGAGGTTACATGCACATTGTGACCCTGAAGAGTTGGGATTTAAATTTAAGTCCTGTAAACACAGATATGCTTAATTGTATTTTTATGTGTAGTCTCACAGTACTACAGCTAAGCACTTGCTAAAGAGGCTGAATTGGAAAGGAACTTATAGTTTTGTAGCATTATGCAGCTGTTCACAGCTGTAAAATTTGTAGAGAAGGAGCATTTGGGAGAATGCGTTACTTCAGTTAAAATCATCATGAACATACTGTGGGTAATGGATAAACCTGTAATTTAAGATGCATTTTAAGGTGCTCTCTTTTTCAGTGTGAAGGATGCTTGATGTATTTGAATGTTACAAAGTACTATTTTTTAAATGATACTGCGCCATAATTAATGCTAAATATTTCACGAGTACGTTGCACATTTCAATAAATGTTTCTATTTTCTTAACTTTGCCTGTAATTTCTTTTTTTAAAAAAACATAATAGCAGAATGTGTGACTGCATCCGCGAGAGATCTGCAATTCTGGATGCAGTCTGTATTTTGCACAGGGGGCTGCATGCCGGGTGCCCAGGGCAGCATCTAGGCCGAAATGGAGGAGAAGAGTGGTGATTCTCCTTGCGATGAAAAGCATTTGTTACACGCTGGAGCGGTCTGGGCCGTGTTGGGAGAAGGCGGATAAAACACCTAGCGCTGTTCAGATGACAGCCATGACGAGAGCCGCAACTGTCCGTCAGTATCTGAGGGGAAAAAAGGATGATCTTCTGTTATAGTAAAGAGAGGAAAGCCAGTCAGTTTAGAGGAGGAGAAAAGACGAGCAGCTTCTCAAGCTCCTCTCCAGGCAGCAGTATAAACCCCCATATACCAGACGACCTGAAACGGCGCTTTTCACAGCAGTGGGTTGTGTGGGGGGCGGCTTTACATTTTTCCAACCCCCGGCCTCTGCCAGGTTTTTTCCCTGCGTAATTCCAGCGGAGTGACGGTGCCCAGGAGCAGAGCTGCAGCAAGATGCTTTCCGCCTCCCGCCGCCCTTCCCCGACCCCACGACCTCCGCGAGGTGCCCCCCAGGCGCTGCTGTGTTGCGTCACCCCTGCTACGCTCGCGCAAGGGCGTCAGCGGCGTGTTAGTAAATCAGCCGGGCAGCGCCTATTCATCGCTCCAGCTCGGCGTTTTCCCCGTTGTGTCTCCGCGGGTTACAGAAGAAAGACGGCCGTTGCCCCATGCATAAACCAACAAGAGGAAAGCGGCAGTTTTTGCTAAACGGTGCTTGTGAAACAG